CTGTCACCACGGCACACTGACCCAGCAGCACAGGACACCAGTGGGATGCACACCCCACCTACACTCCCAGGCTGGAGCACTCTGAACATGCCTGGCCATGGGAATGCCACCTGAAGCCCAGACTCAGGAGTGTAGCAGCACAGCCCTTCCCACAGTTGAGCCATCTCAGCTCTGCTGAGAAAACGGGAAGGAAGGGGCAGGAGCAATCATCAGCTATGCCATCTTCTTCACCACTGCATCTCACAGACAGTTAGAGCACTTGATGGGTGACATGGCAAAACCACAAGCCATTAATCACAGCAATATTTTCACATCAGAATGTTTAAATTTACAGCAACACAGGTTTTCAGAGACTCAGTGCCTAGAAATTTAGTGATACTGTCTGTATCATGCTTAATTCCATTATTCTGCTTGAAAAAGAACTTGGACTTTGAACAAAAATATGGAAATAAATCTCTTCCCTTCAGAAAATTAAAGTAAGTGTTATACCAATTAACATCTCTATGTTATAGCATTAAACCACAATTCATAGGGCCCATATTCAGACCTAGAAATTTAAAACTTCCCAACATTCACTACACATTTTAGGTGTCATGTAATGGTGGGTACAGTCTGCAAAAAGGTAAGCAGTTCATATTTCTTCCCTGAGGCAGGTTTGAAGTATATGTAGATGTTTTTAAGAACAGGTTAGACAATATTCAGTTAAGATTTCATACCCTTTCTAGCTGCCCTGCTCCAGTGCTCAAGTACACTTAAAATTTTACCTAAAACCTGACCCAGATTTTCATTTTTCCAAATTCAGTTTATTACTTCTTTAATAAAGATACCAAAAGCAATTTCTTTTCCGATCTGTAGCACCTTCTCCTATTTCTTAAGTTTACTATGAGGTAGGTTATTCCTTCCTTTCTTCTTTAATTACTCTCTTTCCTAGAATAAACTAGATCTTTTAAAAATAAGGTTTGTTCTTAAATGTCTCATTCTCACATAGATTTAGCAGGACATTCATCTGTATTTCCAGGTGCTAGCAACTCTTCACTTAGCTGATCTCTCTCCCAAAAGCTAATATTAAACAAATGCACTTTGGTATCTCAATTACTTTGAACTGTTTTAATTTCATCTCCTAGTCTAACACTCCACTTTCGTTTTCTTCCCGCTTATATGGCCTATCATTCCCTGAACTCTGCTATCTCTAATGTACTTGGCCACCCTTATCTCTTCCAGGCAAGCTTTGAGTGACTACGTATGTCTGGTTGCTTCTCCACACATTAAGATGTTTTTCAGTTGAACTACTAAAATTCCCTACAAGATTATTTTTTAAACCAATCACTCTTCCATGGAAATCCCCACTATTTGAAGGCTGCAATATTCCACATTAGGCTGCAACCTGCTGTTTAACCAGTGAGCTGTATCACTTTTCTTTAGCTTGCATGCTGTTGTTTTTTAGGGGTTTGGGGTTTTTTTGAAGGGGGAGATATGTTCTACTATGAATACAGACTAGTATATTGTCTTATTTTCAATAAGAAAACATGAAAGCCCAATTATGTTAGGTGTGAACAATGACTGACATCTCAAAGGCGGAATAAACTGAAATTTTTTTAATGAGTACTGGAAGGGGTGAAGTGCAAACCCTTCCATGAGGCAGGTCACAGAATCGAAGCCACAAACCCTAACGACAGCAGTAATGGAAATCTGTGGTGAAAGTTCCCAAAGCCGGTTTTTACAGACACTAACGAGCATCTTTTGGTAGACAGAGATAAACAATGAATGCATATGGAGAATGAACCGTCTTCCCTCAAATGTCTGATGCCTTCTTGAACTCAAGAAAGGCAACGTTAGTTGACAATGGTAGTCAACACAGCCCTGCCATCTGAACAACACGTGCTGGCTTTTTTTCAATCCAATCCAAACCCAAGCTGTTTTAGTGCTCAATATGAATGCACATAATGACAACGGCCCAAGTGCTGTTATTAGCATAGGGAATTCTCAAGATTAATCACTCTGAAAAAATGGCAGCAGATCTGAAGCTGGTTTATGCTGTCTACAGGAAAACAGCCTAGGCTTGATGCACAGTATAGATAAAGTTCCACATATTCATTAATGCCAGCTATTATAAAGCATGACCCCATTTGCTTTTGTTAATAAAAACATTCTGTGCTTCCACAGTTTATCTGCTAAAAATATACTTACATCTTTTGCCATGTTATCAAAGACTAAAAACCAGTCGTCTTAAAATCTTGATGGCTGCAGGACACAGGGACAATGCTATTTTCTGGAAAGCAGAAAGCAAAGACAGCACCAGCTATAAAAAATGAAAGGAGGGAAAGTTTTTACGATTGAAATTATTGAATACTACCAAGTACAATTTAGGTTTCTTTTTGAAAAAAACCCAGGTTTTTGAAAAGGGAAAAGTTTCCCATCATCACCTTTTCATCCCCTGAGCCCCACGCTCACGTGTGGGGGGCACTCCTTTCCCGACGGCGGGGCTGAGCCGTGCCCCGGCAGAGAGCCCTTCCCCCAGCCCGCGCCCGATCCCACGCGAGGCCGGTCCCTGTCCAGCTGCGCCCCTTCCAGCACCGAGCGCGGGCAGCGATCACGGCCTCCTCCTCCTCCCCACCCCCATTTCCAGCAGCAGGCACAAGTAGGCCCCAGGGGCAGCTCCCCCCGGGGCCTTCCAGCCCCGCTTTTCTCCTCCTCCTCCTCGCAGGCGGACGGGCCGCGGCCGCACCGGGCGGCACAGACCGGCGGCCGCCCCTGCGCCTCGGGCACCCCGCGCCCGCCCGCGCCCCCCG